TAAATTTGCCATGTTGGTGGCATCCTCAGAAGCTGGGGTGGGCTGTTTCATCTTTTGGGTCCCTGCCCCAATCCACTTCCTTTTGGGGGTGGAGGCAAAGAGAAGTATAAACTTTCATAAAGATAAAAAATATTTGAGCACTTAACATAAAACAAGATCTCAGAATTGAAAAACATTCAAGGAGCAGAAAGGTATGTTCTGTTTAGCAAGCAAAAATAATTTGAGACTGGAAAGGAAGCGGATACATTTTGCAGCACTGAAACTGATAGCATAACAATCATGGGATATTATTCCATCAATATTTTAAAGGAATATTCCATCAGCATGAGTATATAACTGCTGAATTTCAAAAATATTATAAATAGCTATGCAAAACAAAGGAGCCTGTAGAAGGGGAAATAGCATCCTCTTAAGGCATCTTTTTAAGGCATCCTTAAAGCTCTTTACTTTCAGCTCCCTTCAAAATGTTCTTTTTTTAAATAAAAGCTTTTGAAAATGTTAGGATAGTTGTCTTTCTCTCTATTTCTAGCCTTTAGTCTTGCTCTTCCTCTCCCCTCTGTCTTCCTGTTTCCCTGCTCTCCCAGCCTCTGGCCTCATTGTTTCTCTCAGCACTCGTTTGCTTGCATTCAACCAGCCAGGCTCCATGGCTGGCCTTCTGCACTCAGCCAAATCTTCTGTGGGAGCCATTTTATGGTAGTGCCCACAGCAGTGTCTCACATTCCCAAATATGTCCCCAGTATCAAAAGGAGTTGAGACATCCTATCTACAGTTTAAGTTTACTGTAATTTTCCCATAATAAATCATAACCAGGAGAAATGGATAGAGGTACCTGGAGTCTGTCGCTATCAGCCAGAGAGCTTATACAGCCTGTTATATAATCAATACACATTCAGCTTCTCAAGGTGCAAGGCAATAAGCTGAAAACAAAAGATAGCTTATCCTGAACATTTTTTAATTAATTAACTGTCCCTACTGACATGCTTAAACTGGTAGTAGGCATTAGGTAGTAGAAACACACAAGCAAGACACACTGGGTGTGTCTTTGACAGCACCAAGTACCCTTAGTATGTCACTGACATCAGAAGGCTGGTATTTGTGTCATGCATGAGAGACAGTGTGGTACAATGGTTAAGAGCATGGGACTGAGACTCATGGGATCTGGGTTCTAGTCCTCACTCAGCCATGGAGCCAACGGGGTGACTTAGGGCCAGTCACAGACTCTCAGTCCAACCTACCTCATGGGGTTGTTGTTGTGCAGATGAAATTGACAGCTGGAGGAGTAGAATGATGTAAACCACTTTGGATTTAGAAAAAAAGCAGGCTATAAATCTAATAAATAAATAGAGCGGACAAGCTGATGCATTGAATTAACACCATTAAAAGAATTCAGTGAGTGAATAGGGTGATTTTAAAATGCTGCCTTCAATTTGAAAAGTGAGCAGATCTCCTCCATTTTCAGTATTCTTAGTTAAAAGGATTAACTGAACAGGCACTGAAAGCTGATTCATATGTTATATTTTTTCCTAACTTTCCCATGAAGGAAAAGATGCAAGATCAGGCCTGTAGATCAGGTCTTTGTGCCATCTTGTCACTCACCAGCAGTTATGCAATTATGTCCTTCCACTTACTCTTGAAGAATATAGCATGCAGCAAACAAAGAAGCAAATTAAGGGTCTCGCAGGGTAGCTTACTGCTCACAGCCTACATTTGGCTTGGTGAGCTACACAGGAAGAGTTGCACTGTCCCGGTGTTTTATTCCCCGCCACTGGAGCATCCTAGACAGCTTACACTGAGTGGGTATAAATATATGTGAAATGCATGCACTTAGGTTTGCTATACATCTTAATCAGGTTAGCTAAAAGTTTATAGCCTTCTCCTCACTCACCACCCCCTCGTATTTTCTTTATAAAAGCAAACAAGGAAGAAAAATAGTTGAAACTGTGGAAAACAGCATTACAAATGGAAGACAGCATCATCTGGCACCCCATAAAATCATGTGATCAAGGTAGGATGATTACACATAAAAGCCGTGTCTGGAAGCACTCCCCCCCGCCCCCCGTGTCTTCCATTAACTTCACTGGTCACACTGCCAGGAAACTAAGTGCAGGATTGCTCCATATGTGAACTCAGTGGGACTTGCTTCTGAGGAAGCCTACGCATAATGCACTGTCACTGTGGCATAAGCCTTTGTGAACTGGAACCCTCTTTGCCGCATTGCAAAGTGGTTCTGATGTGCTTCCATGCTACAAGAAATGTGTTAGTCACAAATCACAACTCAGATTTTGCATAAAGAAATTGATGTGATTTCTCCCATCCGAGAGGGGATGTATAAGTTCTTAGAAAAAGAATAAGTGCACCCCTATTCAAGTTACTGCTCTGTGCCAATTTCCCAGTGATTAATTTGTGGCTTTTAGATTGTCTTAATTTTCAGACTGAATCCAAAAACATATAACCAGCAAAGCGAATCGCTATGAGGCTGTCCCTTTGAGGTTCCCAAAAACAGTATCTGGAACCTGTCCCAACATCACACATAGCTTCCAGCATTCTCTCTTTTGAGAAACAAGCTCCTGGAATGTATGCATGTTGGTTTATAAAGCTGAAGTCAAAGATGAGGCATGAAAAGTAATAAAGAAGATTCTGAAGAAATATTACTATATCCTAAATAGCAAGACCAAGCAGATTTAGACAGAAACTAAAGGACTAGCAATGTACATCAAGCACAACTGCAGCCTTCACAGCCCAAAACAAAGGAAGGTGTATTTTTTTATACTGTCACGCTCTACACTTGTATTCCAAAGTAAATCCCATTAGGTTCAATGGGGCTTGTTGTTGTTAGTCGCGCGAAGTCGTGTCCGACCCATCGCGACCCCATGGACAACATTCCTCCAGGCCTTCCTGTCCTCCACCATCCCCCAGAGTCCACTCAAGCTCACTTTCAGGTAAATGGGTATAAAGCCTTAATCTCACCTCTTTAACACATTCACACATTGCTAAAAGTGTTTAAAATATGCGAGATGTCAACTATGGAGTGCTCAATACTGTGTATGCAACTAGCTATCTGAAGGGTAATTTCTGCCTTCACTGTGGTCTTAATACTACAGCAGTGGAAAAACAGTCCTATAACTAAACACCAGAGCCCTGCACCATGCATGCATTCATGTTTCTGGAGGGTCATTATACAGCTGGCTATACAACATTCTGAATGGATTTGCATGCCACAACAACACATCATGGTTGCTACCCATGATGACTTGTGTGCCATGCAAACGGAGACCGATTCTCCTAGGGTGGCTTATTTGAGTGAAAGAAGCCATCTTGACAATCCATAGCTTGTTCTAGGAGTTGCTGTTCCCCTGATGAGTTGAGAAAACCCAAAGTATTTTGTGAGTGCAAAGTATCCGTTAGCAACTTGCTTGGCAAGGGCAGCAAAATCACCCTCGACTCTCTAGCCAAACACTCTGTAGCCTTGCCTGGGCCAGTCACCGCAAAAGCACCCAAGCGGACCACAGGGCAGCTGGCACTGGCTTCCTCCTCTTTGTGGCTTCTCACCCCACCTTTGAGCCATGCTGGGCTTGCTGCAGCTTTATTTTCATGTAAGCTCCCCCACCCCACTCCATGAGACCGTGAAAGCTGACTGTCAAACCAGCTTTGTCCAGTCCCTTCAAAATGCTCCAGTGCCACTTGGAGGGGCTGCCTCTGTTGGCCAAACGTTCCCCCTCCAATTGCCATAAATATCTGCACATTTATTAACTTCTTAAAATGTTTATCCTTTCTTACAGTAGTGCTCATATCCTCTTCAACACATTTGAAACAAGCACCTGAGTCTTGCATACCCTTGTGTATTTTGGACTGTAATCCCAACGAGAGGGCCCTGTGATGTTTAACTTTTTTTACACAGCTCTTTAGGTGATTTCCAAATCACATGTAATGATGTCAGTGGGATAAATGTGCCCCTAAAAACCCAGCAGGCGGGTGCCATGGACCCATAATCACGTGGACCGTATGTGCCAGAGCCAGTTTTTTCAGTACACATTCCTACTTTCAACAAATGTAACTTACATTAAGGAAGTTCCTGCAACCTCTCTCTCTCTCTCTCTCTCATGCAAATAAAAATCACACACTGTTTTTGGTGTAATGCAAACAAAGTACAATGAAAGTCACAATAAAATCTCAGTCATGTTTATAGTTTTCGAAACATTTAAGTAACTAAAATAACAACCCTGTAGTTCATCAGGTCTGGAAAACATCGCTGAATTTGCACATTAAGGTATGTACACTACTAAGCTAAGCACTTTCTCTTTATTCAGACTTAAATGGTCACCTTTTCTGTTGTGCTTATGGGTTATGGGTGATCACAGTATTACAACAGACTGCTCAAATTTAACCCTTCACAACTCACCAAAACAGGGGAGTCTTGCTGGTCCTGGAACAGATTCACTGAATGAAAAATACTAAATAGCACTTGCTTCCAAAGAGGGAAACCTTTGATTCTTATCTAAATTCCCAGTGGGTCCTGTCAAGCCTGTAATTTTATGGAAACCAAGCCCTCAGAGGGTCCTTTCCCTTATATTTTTCAGAGTACTGTGCATGTGTAAAGACCTTGTAGCATACATCTCCTGCTTCCTTGAAAGAGCGATCAGATGTTTAGGAGAGTATAAAGGGAGGGAATGAAATGTATGGGACTTCATACAACACCAGGTACTTTATATTTAGTCATTAAGGAGCAGCTAACAATGATTCTCTCAAAGTGAATTAAATATGATTAGTGCTAATTTGCTAGGCTACCAGCAGAACACCAGCTGGTGTTCTTACAGTCTTGCCCTGTTGCATATATAAATAAAAATAAATTATATTTTCTTACGCATATGCAAGGCAGCCTTTGTTCCAGATTTCCTGATTACTCAAATAATTTTTTCAGCCCTCCCAGTGTAGCTCTCACCCTAGACCTTCCCACAACCATTGGTTCACATGATGGTTGCCCTCATTACATTAGGACTTACGGTTCAGCTTCAATACTCTGGTCGGGGACAACATAGTTGGTTGGGATGTAGCCCTGCAGCTTCTGGCCCGGCCTGGCAAAGCCATTCTCCACAAGCAACCTTGCAATCCACCAGCTGTCTTGAGACCTGTCCAGCACTTCAAACTTATCTCCAGCTCGAAAGCTCAAGTCTTCCTCTGTACGGGCTTGGTAATCAAACAGGGCCACAAATTTGCAGCCCTGCTTTGCTGGAGGCAGAGAAGGAGGAGGTAGAGGAGGGTCGTCCCTGGGCCCATCCAGGTGAGAGGAATCACCCCTCTTCACAGTAGATCCACATGTGGATCCTCCAGACCCTGATCCACAGTCACATGCTTCAAAAAGCCAAGGTATGTAGGGTTCCAGGCAAGCACAGCTCTTATAACAGCAGTTCCCCATGCTGATCTCTCCTTCTCCGTGACTTGTATTCCTTCCCCCTCCTTATGGCTGTCCCAAGACATCCACAGGTACTTTAAACATCTTCATTAAGCATCATTTCAGCATCTATCCCAGAATCCTCCCTTTCTTCTTAGGCTACCAAAGGCAAATACTAATTTCACTGTAGCCAAAGAACCTTTCTCTGCCTCCCAGCTCCACAGTCAGAACTGAAATCTGAGCATTGAAGTGTTCCTGTCGGGGAAATTTTTCACTTCCTCTTCTGAGTAGAGAAAAAGACCTGCACCATTGTGTCAGGGCCAAAAAGTCTAGAAGCCAAGGAACAGGTAAACAGAAACAGAACAGAAAAATTCCAGCAGAATCTTCCTTGCTTTCCCCCTCCTTCTCCTTTCCCTTATTCTCTTCAAATGTACTTCTCTAGCAGTGAGAGGCTGCAAGCTTTTGTAGCTCCTGGTAATGAATAACTAAGCAGATTGCCTTGTTGCTTTAATACGCTGAACTGTGGACAAACTATTTTTTGCATTTACTTCCTGGTTTACCTTTTCTCCCTTCAAGTTCTCTCTCTCTCTCTCCTCTCACACAAGCGCACACACCACACACGGTAGGTAGCATGTGAGGAATGCTCCCTCTTCTCTGAGGACTCTCCCAGAGGAGCATTTTATTGCACTAATAAATGTGCACTTTCTGGTCACTGTCTGCAAATAGCCAACAACTCTTCCCCTGATAATATCTTGTAAAAGAAATTTAATTTTCTCTGCAGTAAAACATGACAATATTTTGCATGGAGAAAATAATGAATTCTACCACCACCCTTTCCTTCCTACCCTAGTTAGCATTGCCCTATTAAATGCCAGTGTTCTAAATTATTGTTAACATGGACATTTAATGGCTAGTAATTGATGTCCATTGACACACATCTGTTTCTGCCAAGTCGATTTTATTTCAACTGCTTTTAAAATGTTTTAAATTTTTATTTCTGACCAGAGCTGGCATAAGGCATTTTGCTGCCTGAAGTGAAGATGCAAATCAGCCACACTAGTCAAGGTGTGTCAGGCATAAAGTCATCCAAGTTATTTTGGCACCTGAGGCTGAAAATCTTGCAAGCTGCATCTCCCCCGTACCCTCAAATTCCCAGGCAATCAAATTACAACAATGCATTAAAAAACTAACATTTTGTTGCCAGTTTATCTCTTGCCTGAAGGGCCTGCCTCTATCTGCCTAACAGAAGTGCCAGCCCTGCACTTTGAGGCCAAATACTTTGTTCTGCCACTCCATGTAGCCTCTTACATTTAAAAACAAAAAAACAGCAATTGCATAAAAACAGACCCAAGCCCATTGTTCTATCACAAAAAGGGCAAACGGATAGCCAGTGCACAGTCCTTCCTGTCACCGCTGTGGATTCCCTTGAAGCCTCTTTCTTTCCCAAGCACCTTTCTCCTAGGTGAGTACACAGTCAAAGGCACAGGAGAGCTCTACATTTGGTTTATGTTTATGATGTGTTCAGCCACCTCTGTCCTCAAGAACCACAAGTGGGATTTTGCTGACTGTGGTTAGCCAAATAGTCAGGTAGCAACCCTGAAGGAAACTGGGAAGCAGTTCTCCCAGTCTATCTGCTTTTCAAACATGTAGAGCTACATGCTCAAGAGTAATTTGGACACCTTTCACAGAGATATACCTATGCGGACTGCATTCAGTGTCTTGCCCCTTTCCTTTCAGAGCAGGTATTGCAACAAAGAATCTCCTGGGGAAGCCTCAGTTCAGGATAGCCACATTAACATTGTGGCTTTCGGGGCTGAAACCATTTCAGGCTTTACAGATAACCTCAAGCTGAGTCCAGTATAGTCATCAATAGAGATACCAAAGGACGTGCTGATTCTGGTCTGTGGAGCCGGCTACAGTTGTCTGCTGGAGGCATTCAGGATGTTTTGCACATACCCACGTAAAATATGCCAGTCTAAAGCATGAATGATAATGACCAAATAGTGTATCAGTAAAAGTGTCTCCCCCACCGCCATGTCTGTCTGTCTATCTATCTGTCTTCAAACTTCTATTGCTTCCTGAGCATCCAGAAGCTGTTCTGGATCAAAGCTTTAGAGGTACACCTTAATCGGGAATGGAACCCTAAGGCATGCTGTACACGTATTCTTTTATAAACCTACCCCAGCCTGGTGGGTTGTGTTGGACTGCAAGTCAGGAGCAGCAGATGCTGCAATCCAGCACTTCTTGGGGGCACCAGATTGTAGAAAGCTGTCCTAGAAGGACCAGTTCCCTTGGCCAACAGTTTTTCCATCTCATCTGGATTACGTTTCATAGGTATACTACCCAGTCCAAACAATCATTCCAAATAAGCTGAACATTTTCCCATCCATATGCACAGTCCAGCAGATAGGTTGGGGTGCTTATTTTTTTAAACCTTCTTGCTTAGGGTACACACATACAGTCAGCCACACATATTAACCCATATAGGCACTTGTGTGTGTGATGAACACCCTTTTGTAGTATAATTGAGTTCAGAGCTCTGCTAGAGTGAAAGGATTTCATCCCAAGTTAGTTCAGCCTAAGTATGGCCACAGAATAGTTATGGTGACACAGAATGTTCAAGGACTGAAACGCAAGGTTGTCAGCCATAAAGCCTGCATGGGTCCAAAAATGGCTTCTTAGTTTGGGAAAAGGTGCTGGCCTGCCAGTACATACATATCAGAGCACAGGCTGAATAAGTTAAACAACTATTTAACTTAGCAGTGCAAATGGCAAGTCTGGTGTAATGGTTAGAGGGTTGGACCAAGACTTGGGAGACTTGGGCTCTAGACCCCCGTTGGCCAGAAAGCTCATCAGGTGATTTTTGGGCAGACTCTTGGCCAACCTGATGGGGTTGTTGTGAGGATAACAGAGAAAAGGAAGTAGACCATGTAAACCACCTTGGGTTCTTGGTAAAAGGAAAAAGTTCAGGATGCAAACCCAAATGTTGTAATAAATAAGCAGTTAAATAACTGACAGTATTACAGATCCTGGAAAATGCTGTAGAGTGAGAATCAGCCTCCGGTTAGTGGTAGACTTAGAGCACAATCGTATGTATGTTAAACAGGAAAAAAAATCCCAGAATTTTTTCTGTCTTAACATGCAGATGAGTCCCTCAGGTCAGAAGGTGTCCAATATGCTACTGGGGAAGAGCAGAGGGGTAGTACTAGTAGCGCCAGAAAGAATGAAGCAACTGGGTCAAAGCCGAAAGGACACTCAGTTGCAGGTGTATCTGGTGGTAAAAGGAGAGTCCGATGCTGCAAAGATCTATACTGTGTGAGCCGCCCCGAGGCTTGTTGCGATGGGGGCAGCACAAAAATGTTTTAAATAAATAAATAAATAAACTCCATAGGAACCTGGAATGTAAGATCCATGAATCAAGGCAAGCTGGATGTGGTCAAACAAGAGATGACAAGATTGAACATCGACATCTTAGGAATCAGTGAACTAAAATGGACAGGAATGGGTGAATTTAATTCAGATGACCATCAGGTATACTACTGCGGGCAAGAATCCCTCAGAAGAAATGGAGTAGCCTTCATAGTCAATAAAAGAGTCGGAAAAGCAGTACTGGGATACAATCTCAAAAATGACAGAATGATCTCAGTTTGAATCCAAGGCAAACTGGACACAGAACCACTGATTGGTTCAAAATTGAGAAAGGAGTTCGGCAAGGCTGTATACTGTCACCCTGCCAATTTAACTTATATGCAGAGCACATCATGAGAAAGGCGGGGCTGGATGAATCGCCAGTTGGAATTAAGATTGCTGGGAGAAATATCAACAACCTCAGATATGCAGATGATACCCCTCTCATGGCAGAAAGTGAAGAGGAACTAAAGAGCCTCTTGATGCAGGTGAAGGAGGAGAGCACAAAGTTGGCTTGAAACACAACATTAAGAAAACTAAGATCATAGCATCCAGTCCTCTCACTTCCTGGCAAATAGATGAGGAAGAAATGTAGGTAGTGACAGATTTTATTTTCCTGGGCTCCAAGATCACCGCAGATGGGGACTGCAGCCAAGAAATTCAAAGACACTTGCTCCTGGGGAGGAAAGATATGGCAAATCTAGGCAGCATACTAAAAAGCAGAGACATCACCTTGCCAACAAAAGTGCGTATAGTCAAGGCTATGGTTTTCCCATTTGCAATGTATGGCTGTGAAAGATGGAGCATAAGGAAGGCTGAGCACCAAAGAATTGAGGCCTTTGAATTGTGGTGCTGGAGGAGACTCCTGCAAGTCCCTTGGACAGCAAGATGATCAAACCGGTCAGTCCTAGAGGAGATCAACCCTGACTGCTCTTTAGAAGGCCAGATAATGAAGATGAAACTCAAATACTTTGGCCACGTAATGAGAAGGAAGGACTCCCTGGAGAAGAGCCTAATGCTGGGAACAATAGATGGCAAAAGAAGAGGACAGCAGAGGATGAGGTGGCTAAATGGAGTCACTGAAGCAGTCGGCGTGAGCTTAAGTGGACTCCGGGGGATGGTGGAGGACAGGAAGGCCTGGAGGAATGTTGTCCATGGGAACGCGATGGGTCTGACATGACTTCATGACTATCAGCAACAACAAATATGCGTAAGACTGTAACCTTACAGCATTTTCTTCAAAAGTATTATTTCCCTCTGGAAAATCTAGTGAAACTAGATTGTACACTTAGTGCTTTTTAAATAGAATTGTCATAAGTAGTAGTAGACACATAAGGTTGGATTGATCCTTAGGCTGTGTGTGCTATGCATGACTTGATTGGCTGAGGGGAAAATTCTATGAATGTTTGTTGTGGTTGGTGCTGTCAAGTTATCTCCAACTTATGGTGACCCCATGAATGAGAACTCTCCAAATTGTCCTGTCCATAACAGGAGCCCTGTTCTGCCCCTGTAAATTCTGGGCTGTGGGTTCTTTTATGGAAACAATCCATCTCTTCTTTGGTCTTCCCTTTCCTCTTCTGCCTTCAACTTTCTCTAGCATGATTGTCTTCTCCAGGGAGTTTGGCATTCTCATGATCTGCTCAAAGTGTGGCAGCATCAGCTTTGCCATTTTTTAATGTTTAGGCAGAAAAAAATCCTACACCTCCCAGCATGCCCCAGCTGGCACATGATGGCAGTTGTAGGATTTTTTTTTTTTTTTCATTTTAAGCATGCGTAGGTGAGAAGGAAAATAGATTCACAGGAGAAATGGCCGGGGCAACTGTTTTGCCAGGGGGTTTCATTGGTCTAGAAGCAGCATAACAATGGAATGCAGTATCTAGAAAATGAGGAGCTGTGAGTTTCACAGGGCAAGTAGGGAGAGAAGAGCTGACAATCAAGGACAGTGATAGTGCTAGATTGTTTTGCTAGTGCTAGAACAGTTAGCCATTCATCTCACCTGATAGTCCTTATATAATATTGTTGTGTGCATATCTCTATGTAAAGTTTCATCATTTTACCTTCTGAACACAATCCAAGGCAGGAAGCTTTGCTAGAGTGCTATGAATGACTGCTGCTCTTAACAGGAAGTATTTGGCATGATGTTGCAGTGATCTATAAACTCTCAGTGGTTCAACCAGCCTGCTGCCCATTAACATTTTACATACATACTATATTTTGGAATTACAGCATTTTAAGGTTGCTTTACATGCATAGCTTGTAATCTACTAACATGTATCCTTTAAAAATAACATTTGCCCTGATAAAAGCCTACAGTTACCTCTAATTCCATTAAGTGTTAATCCATTTAATTTAGTAGCAGTTTAGGCCTTGTTTGCTTATACAAAGTCATTGTAATGATTAAATGCGGCTGTAAAACATGCTTTTCTTGGCTAAGCAAGGGGCAGTAATTTCATAAACAAATTAGGAGTTAGGTAATGCAGAAGAAACCTTGACTGCAGTATTACTGTATGTTTTCTCTGTACTGTTTTACTGTTTTCTTTTTACTGGGTAATTAAATCACAACTGGAATAGAGCTGGAATATTTGTTTCAGGAATGCAAAATACTTACTATTTACACACTAATTGGCACCATTCTTTACAAAGGTGTTTCGGAGCGTAATCACAAAATGGCTTCCCATGCTGTATGCTGGAAATTGCCATTACTTTCTGAACTAACCTTGTATGCATTAGTTAAGGATCTATTAATAACAAGCTACTTATGCAAGATGCTATTCACAACACCTGAACACATTTACAAAATGAATTATAATGTGTGCTATAAATCACAAGAGTCTGGCCTCTAGATGTTGCTGAAGGACTGCGTGACTGTTTGGCATCCCAGCTCCAGGGTAAAAGACAATGGGAAAAACTACACGAGCTGCTTTTATAGGGTGCAAATTTGACCCCAGATGGGGGTTAAAAGGAGGAGAGACTGGAGAGGTCAGAATCTGGGGTGTGCTGGCACCTCTTCACTTCTAAAGCATCCCAGCTAGAAGGGTGAGAAGATTGTCCAACAAAAATGTGATGGGGAAGCGAAATTCTGGAGCTTAGGGGCATTGTAACAGGATTGTGTCCTAAATCAGATCACATTGCCCAAATCAAAAACAAATCTACTTATTTATTTTAATATGTATATACTGGTCCATTCCCATAGACTCCGGGCAGTTTATGTGAAATTAAAACCAACGCATCTTTCCAAAGTCTAGCTAGGGAAGACTTCTAATGGAATAGAACTGGAGCATGACAGGATGTTGAGAGAAGACACAAACCAAAAGCTGGGAAAGAGATAGGAAAGGCCAGAAATGAAAATATTTGGAAGGTTTCTAAGCAAGGCATACAAAGCAGCACAGAATCTGGCAGTCGTCCATTGGCTCAAGCTTTTGCTAGAAGCATTTGTGGGCAGGCCAAGTCAGGAACAGTTCATGTGATAAGTAGTGTTGGGAAAATTTGGATAAATCCTGGCAATAAAATGTTGCTTATGTGTGCCTTTGTGTTATAAAATCAAACCTGCACTCTTTCTCAAAAGCACTGGGTTTACAAGCCAAGTCACTGTTTAATATTGCTGTTGCCTTAAGAAAATGGCGCTCTTCCCCCTTGCTTCTCTTCTTCTCCCCTGTAGCTGTAAGCTAGAGCAGACAGGCCATTCAGTCGAATACACAATCACCTCTACAATGTTGCTGCATAATCCCTGCAGGAATTCACAGTTTACCAAGAAGTATTTAGTTAGCTAGCCCAGAGTGCTTCCCATACTATAGCCAACCAACAGCCAACCAGAAAGGTGTGAATCTATTACTCAGGGTTTGAGCCTTCTTGATAGTAACAGATGAGCTTATGATTTTACGAATGGTTTCTCAAAAGCTGGAATTTACATGTCTAAGCAGACCCAGAGATGGGTTTAAGTTTCTGGAATTTACTCAACTGAAATGTTAATACACTGCAATTAGAAATATTGTGATCTTATTGTAACTTGTATGTTTGGCTGGTCTTATCTGTTCTGTATATGATGACCATAGAGTTTCATTGTAATGTCTGCATTCTGTCATCAATTGCTCTGTACCTGTGTACATAACCAGGAAAGTATAAACTGCTCTGTACTTCTATTGAAATCTTGCAGTTGAGTTTGCCTCTGCCTGATAATGCATAACCGTGAGTGAAACCTGCAGGGAACCTGGACTTGTGTCAATAAAGGAGCGGAAGTGGGAACATTTGACCTTTTTTATTTCCTCCTCACGAATTGAAAACCGAGATTCTGTCAGTAGCTAGAGGTATGCCAGTACAATTTTTTTCCTACCTTTGCTCATTGCAGCACTGAGTTCCAGTCATTTGCTGTCACTTTACTAAGTTTTCCCCCTTTCTGGATATAATGCTTTGCAACACTCCTGTAGTAATCAGCATAAAAGGCTGTATTGCAAATAGTCATCCTAAAAGAGACATTGGCCTTCCATGTTTCTGTTGTAATGCTTATAAAGAAACTAAAGGAACATTTAGGGTGCGGTCCTACAGGTTGCATCCTCACTGGATAGAAGCATCTGATCTTGGAGGCTTCCAAGTACCCCTGTCCTGCTGAGAGGCTGCCAAGGGGCACTTCAGCTTACCCATGAGAAGACTGAAGTAGTAGGCCCTGTCCCATTCTACCACCACCCCATTCCCAGGGCAGCTGTCAGAGCACAGAAGCGAGCAAAGCCAAGGTGCTTCTATGATGTCCCCTGGGATCCCTGTCCAAGAACAGGGGGCCTGTGCCATAACCATGTGTGACACATAACAGGCCCCGAGACAAAGAGGTCATATAGCGTGCCTTGTTCTGCAGCGTGCTTGCTGTGTCATGTGAATCCACCCATTGTATAAATAGCCAGCGCATTGCACTGTCCCTGTAGCCTGCCTGTGGTTTGCGGCATTAGTTCCCAATGGGGAAATTACAGCAACTTCCTTATTTTTAAAAATTTACACTGGCCAGCTGAGTTCTTGAAGCAACATGGCTTGGCCATTCTAAGCACTTATCTGCAGGAACAATCTTGTGGCTGGATTGTTACCTGAGTGCTACAATGAAATCTATTTTAGTATAACAGGAAATATTGTGGCCTGCTTTTTTAATGCAGGGATTTGGAAAACATTTACAGTATTTGATCACTTCATTGTTACTATATGGATTGTTATTTTACTTCTTGAATTTAATTTATTCCTTCGCAATTAAATTCAAGCTTGTTTAATGTAAAGCTAGTTTAATGTAGTGGTTGACACTGTAAATTGGGTAGGCCAAGAAATTTCTCATTCACATCTCAGTCAAAGGCTAGTCTGAGAGACAGTCAAGCACTTTCCATCTGCATATTCAAGTGCCTGGAACTGCTAAGAATAGAAAGATTGGAATCTTATGGCCTGCAAGTTTCTCCATCCAGACCTGGTGTCATAGATCGGTACAATGAAGCAAATTCTGGAACCATGTTGCCAGCATCTCTTCATTTTCCCAGAATTTCTCTTGTGCCCAGAAGCATTCTGGGAAAAAGATGGAGGATGACTGCAGCCTTGGTCAGTCCTTCCTTACATTGCATTTAGTAAAATGTAAGGAAGATGTTAACAGAGACCTCTGCACTCCCACAACCTGCTAAATTTATCAGTGCAGGGGGAGGGCACAGGGTATGTTTCCCCAGACCCCCTCCAAAGGACACCTGATGCTCCCCTTCATGGCTAATAATTTGCCTTTCTCCGTGGCTAATAATAATTCTGCAGGATTTGTATCAGCAGCTGTTTTCTAAAATAGGGAAGAATTCCATGAATGAGGTAAGGTGATGGTGCAATAAAAGTCTGGTCCTTTGTTCAGAGTCTGATACCTGCTGCTAAAACCAGAGAGTAAGAACGTACTGCTTGTGGCCTTCCCACCTGCCTAGTCACCATTGGAAACAAGAAACTGGTTAGACCCAAGTCTCAAGGAGTAGTTCTACCTGTGAAGTGCTGCTGGCACACACATGGCAATCTGCACAAATAGTCTGCAATTCGTGAAGTCTTAATTAGTATCATAACCTGCCTTCCATGAAGTAAAGTAACACTACAGCTCAAATCAGTCTGCTCATCTTAAATCGGCAAAAAGTGCGTTTCACCTTTGTGGGTGGGGATGGTGGCTCTGCTGTGCATTCTGCACATTCTCAGAAATACCCTTGCACAGGCATCACATTGCAAAAGCAAACTCTGGCACTAGAGAGGGGTAGCCTCTGGACTGGTCTGCAGTTCAAAGGGCCTTCAGTAACACACATGGCCCCTGCCAACGATTTCAGGACTTGCTCAGGCTTTCCAGTTCTGGCTGTGGGAAACTGTTTTGCGGGGAACCGAGGGCCTCCTGTGCCTGGGCCACGCGTGACGCCGCCGGCCCCGCGGGCACGCCGGCGGGCAAGAGCACGCGGGGGAAGAGGAGGCGGGCTGATTGCAGGCAGCCTCTCAACCGCGGGGCACCAACAGCTGGCAGCCGGCAAAGTAGGGACAGCGACTGCAGGAAGCCGCCGCCACACGCGCAGCCGAGCAGCAGCTTCTCTTGGTGGAGCGAGGAAAGGAAGCCGCCGCCTCCGCCACCATGTCCCGGCTCTTCTCTCTGGCCGACTGCGAAGTGATCGGCTTAGATCTGGACCACACGCTGTGCCGCTACAACCTGGTGGAGAGTGCCCGGGTGAGCGGCGAAACTGGGAGGAGGAGGGGTCGCGCTGGCTTCGCGCGCACCCGCCGCCCTGCCTGCCGCAGCTTCCTTGCAGAGCAGCAATGGGGAGGACAGCGTGGGAGGAAGAAGGAAGGCGCGGCGCCGGTCGCCCGGGTTGCTCGCACGGTCCGCAAGCCGACCGGGGGACCGGCTAGGCGGCTCTTCTCGGCGGGCGGGCGGGCGCGGGAGGGGGAAGGGCGAGCGGGCCGCCATGAGCGGGGCCCTGCCTACGCCGCGGGAGCTGCGGCCGCGGGCTAAAAGTGGCGCTCTGACGTCTTCGTGCGGCTTAAACAAGCCCAGGCGACGTAAGACGGGTCGGGTCGGGTCGGGTCGGGTCTTTCCGTGGAAGCGGAAAGAGGCGGCGAGTGTTCGGGGCCGGTCTCCGCAGCCCTGCTGGCGCGCCTCCCGCCCGGAGCAGGAAGTCTTGCCCCAAGTTCCTAGGCTGTATTCCGGAGCAAAGGCGCTCCCCCATTAGACGCAGTGCGCTCCAACTTCTGAATAAGCGTGCAAGCGGCAGTGCTGCGGGGCTCTCATCTTGCAGGCACCTCGGCGCCGGAGAGCCCCCTAGAACTCGGTGCAGCCCCAGAGACGCCGGGTAGATGCTGAGGATTGCGCTGTGCTTCTCTGAAAGGCATGCTTCCTCCGCAGCGAGTGCCTCTGGGTTAAATGCATAACTTACCGGAAGGATGCACTGGATGGCAGGCTTTGCTGTTCGGGAGAGGCTTTATGTCCTAGCAGTGTTTCCAGGCCATTTTCTGGCCATGGCTATCCTGATCTGAAATCTTGTATTTCTGTTTTCTGTATTTGGTTAGGTTTGCATTAGTTGGATAAAATATCTAAAGTTGCTTACTTTATAAATAAGCAGTACAATATGTGTTCTGTTGCTTTGCTTTGGTGTATTTGGGAAAAAATCATTTTTTTCCTTCTGTTTGGGGGAAAAACAAGTGAGTACACAAACAGAACTGTGTAGTTATCCTCTCCCCTTTATAGCAGGGTTGGGTAGCTTGTGGCCTTCCAGATGTTTTGGCCTACAGCTCCTGTCAGCCCTTGCCTACATAGTTAGTGGTGAGAAGTCATGGCTCCTTGGCCTTCCAGATGATTTCACCCACAAACTTCCTGCCCTTTAACCATATCTGCTGGGATCCACTGGGCACACCACACTGAAGTGAATGACAGAGGTTCAAGAGCACTTCGAATGCAAATCAGTATGGGTAAGATACTGGTTTCTGCTCATGGGCAAGGGACAACTATGCTGAGCAACCATTACATAAGTGCTGCATTTAGGCTAGTATTTATATAACTAGAGTAAATTTTTACCTGCAACTATTGATTCCTGTGGTGTACTTCTTGTATACTAAGCAAATTGTCATGGTTTTCCCACTCAGAGTCCTAAGACAGATAACATTTGAAGATAGTGCTTAACAGATCTCATTTAAATACCTTTACATTTCTCACTTCCAAACTATAGTTCTTAATATACCCTGTGGTAGAAGAGGAATTCTTAAACCAATTTAAACCCTAAGGCTGCAGTTTATTTATTTAAAGTTTTCATATGCTGTCCCAAAACTAAAAGTCTCTGGACAGCTTACAAAAAACAAGGAAAAAACAAAGCAAACCATAACAACAACAACACACTCATATGATAAATAATGATAAAAACAAGTTGAACTTAGTGGGGCATACTGCTGAGTAGATATACTTAGGATTGTACAGCTAAAGCTACAGTCCTGTACTTTCTCAGCTGGGAGGAAGGACCATGTCAAACATTGGGGTTACTTCTGGTTGCATTAATAGGGTCACTGTGTGAGCTTGCCTTCAAACAACATGGCCACTGAAAAGAATTGGATTGCACCCAATGATGGGATAGGAGATTGCACCCGTCTTTGTTCATGCACATGTAGCAGTATTTACTGAACATATAGCCCATCTTTCTACCTGAGACAGGTCTCCAAGGTCCATGCTCTATAAACATAAATGCTGTGGATGGTTGATGTCACTGGGGACTATCTCAGGTGTCCCCTTCCTGTTTACGTGCATGTTTGGAAAAGTAACTGTGATTTTTGAACCATACCAAATCCTTGAGGGACGAGGATGACATTTCTGAACATTTTGGTAAAGAACCTGACAGGTATTAATCTAACATCTTGTCATTTTTATATTCTGCCGCTGCTAATAAAGTAGACTCAAGTGTGAAGCGACAGTCTTCAAGTGGCTCAGTGTATTTAATTTTATGTAGTGTTATATTCTCTCCCTGTGTTCTCTCTCTTAATTTGCAGCTTATATATGAAAGCTTCGCTCAGTACATGGTGAAAGAGAAAGGTTATGATAAGGAATTGCTGAATGTAGCTCCTGAAAGCTGGGATTTTTGGTAAGTGATTCTGTTTTAAAATAGTTTTATTTCCATATTTCTAACCTTTTTTGCATGTGGAAGAAGAAACTACATATCTTTAAGAAATACCTAGGGTATTTCCATGTCTCTGCCCTAGTCCTTGCTTGATGACTCATTCCAACCTTCTTGGTTCACTTGGATGAATCATGTTCCAGAATGTTATCAGCTATGAAAGGTTGGGACATTGTCAGGTTGCTCATTCTTTCATTGGACTTTGCGGCTGCATTTTTATCTCTAGCTGCATTTTTATCTCTAGTAGTTTTTTGCCTAGGAAAAGCATGCAAACCCTGTTCTGTATCCAGCATTACATAGCACTGCAGCCTCTTTAGAACCTGGCCTGGCCATAAGTCTTAGGATATACTCAGTTTCTCAGCTTTGTTGGCAGAGATTCATGGCTGGCCTGATGATAGATCTTCCAGCTTCCTCGGTATATAGGCTGTCCTGAACTGCCAAGCCTTATGCACAAGGCATTCATCCATACTTTGAGCATCTATGCTTCTCTGAGGGCATAGTCCTATTGCAGTCCCCATAAGCCCCTGAATTTGGATCACTTAGGATGATCCTGTGCAGAGTGGGACAAGCAGTGGAGGTGATCCTCACCTTCCCATCCTCTTGCTCTGCATATTTCACTAAGTGGGCTTTTCTGCCTATCTACTGGAGCATTTTGGAGACATGGGGAGGCAACTGGAGAGACCTCAAAATAGCTTATATCCTGGCTTCTACAGTCTTCTCCCCTTCACCACTGGAATGACTCTTTCCTCCCTCTCCAAGGTCGCTTTCCTACCTCAGAGAGCATCTGTCACAGTTCTTTCCCTGCCTGCTATGAGGTAAAGAGAGCTGGAGCTCTGATTCACAGCATCGAGGTCAGAAAACTGTCCAGGGATCATAAAGCCAACCTAACTGTACTTAAGATTATAGATGGTCCCATCCTATGTATCACTTGTGTATATTTTGAATACAATGTTCTTCATTATATACATCTCTTTTCTCCTGCCACTGTCCACCGGTGAAACCAAATACACACAGCTGTAAAGGCTTGGTGCTAGATATGGAAGACGGAAACTTCCTTAAGCTTGCTGAGGATGGAACTGTTTTGAGGTAACACTTCATTTTTTCATAAAGATTTTACACTTCAGTCCCTAGAACTTGTAAATTATCTGACAATTTCTGCTTTCAGACCACAGGCATAGTCACTGCATTCTGTACTCGGAATATGCAGATATTCAGACCAGCTCCTTGATAACCTGATCATAATCATTCTAAACATAATCATTGATAACCTGATCATAATCATTCTAAATGAGATTTACTTCTAGTAATGCAAATCCTCTACTTGCATCCTAAACTTATTCGGATTAGAGGGTTGTAAAGTCTGGAATCTTTCCTTGGCATTTAATGTGCCATTATACACAAAGTTGGAATTCCAAAAGGCTGAGGGGCAAAATCTGAAAAAGATTTTTATTCATTATTTGCCTGGCCTTAATCTTACGGAGAGTTCTTGTCATGTTCAAGTGGCTCTTCACACCTTGCCATTCATCCCGGTAAGCTCAGGGATTGAAAGCATGGGCGCACACTGGAATGTTGCAGGCATGGCATGGCCGACAAGTGAGATCCTTCAAGTGAGCAAAATTACTTTGGTACAGAGTGACGAATCAGATCTTTTCAGAGAAAACTAACAAAGCAGTGGTTACATAGGTCTGCCTGACTGAGCCAGGTTGTGTGGAATTCAGAGACTCGACTGTGATTTAGTAATAGCAAATCTGAATCACAAAACTTTTTAGGAGTGTTTGCTCTTGAAGACATACAGAACTATTATCGGGTGATGGTTATATCTTGATAGGTGTTGTGTAGAAGTACGATATTGTCATTGGAGGAGGGGAAATGATGCAAAGTTCTGAATTTTGAGTAACATCCGTGCCTTTATTTCTCGGCACATGCATGTGTCCGACAGGGCAAGTCATGGTACAAAACAGATGACCCCTGAAGAAATTCTGGAGACATATGGAAGGAGGGAATGGAGGCACTTCAAGACATTAAGTGGAATGGTTTCTCGTTCAGGTATTTGGTTTCTCAACAGTCTTAGGGCCCATTTAGACATGATCAGATTTCTTTGGCATTATTTTATTTATTTATTTATTTATTTATTTATTAAAACATTTCTATGCCGCCCCATTCGCCGAAGCCTCAGGGCAGCTCACAACATAAATTAAAATACAAGAAATAACAATATAAAATAAGTTGCCCTGGCCAGATAAAATAAGCAAATAATATTAACAATTAAAATGACGCTTAAAAGGTCTTCGCCTGGCGCCAAAAAACAAATAACGATGGCGCCAGGCGGACCTCTCTGTGGAGCACATTCCATAGATTGGGCGCCACCGCAGAGAAAGCCCTCCTCCGAGTACCTACCCTCCTAATTTCTTTCATGGAGGGTTCCCGGAGAAGGGCCTCTCCCGCTGATCTCATGGTTTATTATTATTATTATTATCTCAATAATAATCCAATTATTCTCTTTGGATTAAAGCATGGTAGAGCAGTGCTGCTGCCTTTGCCCCCAGTGTCATGCCTCTCACCTGGCTCTTCCCACAAGCTTCGCTTGTTGAGAGAAGGCCTGAGTGAGGAGCCAGCTGAACTTGGAGGCGCGCACCTTCCTTATACTTGAGAGGGAAAGTGATCTGCACTGGTGGGGTGGGGAGTGATTGAGACAAAAGTATTCTGGGGGAAAGAAACTGCCCCCCTCATCCAGATCAGCCCACAGTAGTTGCTTTCAGTGGGGAGACAAGAAAAATTTGGAAGAAGTGTTGAACCTGATGTCTAGTTTGGTTTTTACTCATGAAGGGATTAGACTCTAAACATGATGTTTACATTTCCCTCTCCAAAGAGGAGTTTAAGACTGCATCTCAGTCGTTTTATGTTATTTACACACTAGCTACAAGGCTGAAATTAGGAACTGCATTAATTTTCAGTGCATCCTGGATTACTTACTTCACATGTGAGGTGCAGAGTGTATTCCCAAGTACCTAAGCTACTTAAAGGCTACTTAAATCGGGAGCTTGATTAATACACAGTCTAAGGCACTCTGGGGTTTAAGTATGCCTGAAGTGGAAACACTTATAAAAAATGGGGGAAGGGGGACTGAACTGCTCATCTATCTTGAGCAATAGCTTGATCTACTGAAAGTTTACCATATTTTTTTATCCTGCCTCTCCCCCGAGAATCTCATGATATACTATTGATTACATAGTCCATTCTGCTCTTTTATTCTTCTAACAATCCAGTGATGATGATGATTAGACTAACTGTTTTGGGGGGTGGGGGGCAGTGAGCTTCATGCCTAAGCAGAGATTTGAACCTGGATCTTCCCAATCTAGCTTGGATATTTTAGTTGAAGTACTACACTGGCTTTCTAAATCAACAGACAAAGCTGTTGATTTGAAAATAAAATAGGTTCCTAATGGAACAGGTTGATTATGGAAAACAAGTCCTATGATGAGCAATTGAGGGGAGAGGGGAATGGATGTGGAGAAAAGGAGAATGAGGGGGCATGATAATTCACTGCCTATGGCTGAAAAGTTGCCACAGAGAAGAGGACTGAGACTCCCAGAGAGCAGGACTAGACCTAATGGCCTTGAGTTACACGAGTGTAGATTTTGGTTAAACATTAGGAGAGACTTCTTGATGCTAAATAGAGTTCAGCAATCAGGAAAGTGATTTAGAGGGATGGTGTGCCTTCCTTCAGTAGGGTTTGTTCTAGCTCTGGATTGCTTCCATGATGCAGACTGTGTGACATGTGAGTGTCTGCAGGTTAATTTGCTGTTAAAGGTGCAGGAGCAAAAATGGGCAAAAAGTAAAACAGACCCACAATCTTACAGAGCTCTGGGCACCAGTTTTTTAGAGAAAAAAATCTTTCCAAAGGTTCAGTAAGGAGTTCTAATGTTCATATTTTCCTGAAAAATGATGAAAGGTGTAGTTTCCCAACAATATCTAATGCAGTGTTCCAATTCTTTTGTTCTTTGCAGCCAAATTTTATGCCTATGACAATTATTTTGATCTACCAGGGGCACTTCTTTGTGCACGGATTGTGGATGGTTTAAACAAGGTAAGTCTTTACAATCCAATTAAAGAACATTCTTACGATTTTTGCTGTGTTGCTGTTTCATTTGATCCTTACCCTGCTCCTGCATTATATGCTGCAAATTGAATTTTATGTTTGGAGGAACTTTATATATTTTTTGAAAGGCAATAAAGATGTTGTGCAGGGGTAATCATAAGGTGAATAACTGTTGAAAAACGTATATAAGTGCAAAGAAGATGTCCAAATGGTGGCCTAAGGCCACCATAGGATATTTGACACGATGTTAAGTATGTATTTGCATTTAAATATGTGTTTCTTTAAAATGCGTATGGTGGTTGTAGGGGTGATAATTATCAAGACTGCAGATTTCGGAAAGGGGAACATAACCGCTTTCCTCCATTGTTTCTGGTAAGAATATGGAAACTGTCTGCTACAGTCCTGATAATGATCACTATCCTTCCGCCCTCCCATGGCATGTTTTGGAAGGAAAAAAAAAAGCAAGCAGATGAAATTCAAAGCTGTATCTAATATCACATCTTGCTTGAATCTAGGTAGATGTGAGTGGCAACATACTGCAGGGCTCAGATTCTTGTTTCAAAATTGTGCGAATTAGCTTGAATCCTAGGGTATCGAGTGAACTCTTGTGTACAAGTGCACATCTTTCCTGAGGCTGGTACACTACCCACGCTGCAGCTTCTTCAGATATAAATGAGGAAATGAGACTTAGTTACATATATCGTGCCTGTCGAACGGGGTTTACACAGGCCCATTCCCCTCCTACTCTGCCCCATGCCCTCTGCAGACTGCACGAGTCACTTGAACCGGCCTTTTCATACTGTCTTTCTCCCTGTTTCCTGCATCAACATCTTCCATAGTTGACAGGCCACATATAAATCTACTCATAGACTCGCTTTGAAAGCTTTGCAGAGGGGAAAAAGAAAACTGCTTTATGTGATTTGTGGTCTTCCTTGGACTGAAACAGACTTAAGGGCAGCCCAAGACGCCATTAAGAAGTTAAGGGCAGTCCAAACAGCAGCAGGGCAGCACAGGCAAAGAGTCAAGCTCCAGGGCTTTGGTCCAGTTTTATGTATGTATGTATGTATGTATGTATGTATGTATGTATGTAGGGAACTTCTATGCCGCCCCATTCACCGAAGCCTTGGGGCAGCTCACAATGATAAATAAATAACATAATATAAAACAATATAATTTAACAGTATAAATTAAGTCACCCTGGCCAAAGAATAAAATAAATAAATAATATTAACAATTAAAATAATGTTTGAATAAAAAGGTCTTCGCCAGTAAAGGGGCAGGCTGGCAGGCAGGTGGGGGGTTAGTCCGGATCGGGATTGAGGCATGTTTATTGGTCTGACACAGTCCAGAAGCAGAGTCAGGCAGGAATCTGAGGGCAAGGGCCAGGGAACAAGGCACCAGCACTGAAGAGCGGTGTTGTTGCCAGTTCTGGCTCGGCAGACCTTGGAGGCTGTCCCCAGGAGCTCCATCGGAAGAGCGGTCCTCCAGCAGAGGCCCGGCATCTCCTCTGTATGCTGTGCTCGCCGCTTCTTCCTCTGTGGAGGGGCACACACTAACTAAATAACCCTCCCTCACTGCTCTGGTGTAAATAACCTGGAACACTTAGGAGGGAAAAGCAAGTCCAAGGAGTGGAAGCCGTGCTGGCTCCAGATGGCCTGGGCCCTCCTTCTCTCAGCTAATCTGCCCTCTTACCAGCTGCTGCTCTTCCGCTCCGGCACCGATGCGCTCTGCTGTTCACTTGCCAGGCAGACAGCCAGGGAACAGACTGGCAGACGCATTTGCTGCTGTTCCTTCCTTCTTGCCACCATTGTCACGTGGGCCAGAGCAAGATGACGATGGCAAACAGGTTGCAGTGGGAAGAGGAGGCAATTCAGGGGTCCCTTTTATGGGAGCCCCCTGCTGGCATGGGGTACTTGCTAGATGCTCAGCCAGGGTGAAGTTGAATACCAAGGTTGTACAGCAGGAAGGTTCAGTTACTGAGGCCCATACACTTTTTCCTGCCTGAGTTTGGCCTGGTTCCTGGTGTCTGGGGCAAATGGAAGTGGTTGTGTCTGTTGAGGGAAGGCTTCCAACTTTGTAATCCCACCTCTGTGTTTAAAAGAGCTTTCGTATTTCTTTAGACAGGCACGCAGATTTCACCACCTCCGTAGGTCTATACTGTATAAGCAAAGCTTTGATAATACTCGTAGGCACATCACAAGTGCATTTATTGGAACAACTCCATTGCTAACTGATTAGTTTAAATGAAAAGCAAAAGCTGAAGCACTTGTGTGACCCAGTGATGCTGGTGATTAATTGATTACAGAGAGCCAGTGTGGCGTAGTGGTGAAGAGCATGGGACTGGGACTCAGACGACCAGGGTTCTAGTCCCCGCTCAGCCATGGAGCCAACTGGGTGACTTTGGGCCAGTCACAGACTCTCAGCCCAACCTACCTCACAGGGTTGTTGTTGTGGGGATAAGATGGAGGAGGAGATGCAAGCTGCCTTGAACCCTTTGTAGGAGAAAGGCAGGATATAAATCGAAAAAATAAATAAAATAAAAATAAAATAATCCGTTCTGTAAAAAAATCAGCCTGTCATTTTAGTTGCAGATTTTGCAGTGAAATACTTTATAAATATATAGCAACAAAGAGCTGCAAAAACCAAAATCAGTGATGCAGAAAGATCTGTACATTTCAGTGTCTCAGGATCAATTATATTCTTTTGCTTCAAGGTCGGCTGAAAACGAATACGGGAAAGGCGGCATTGTGTGTCCGTGCTGGTTAATGCCTCAGCTGAACTCGCATGCCTGTCTGCTGTGCTGACTCTGGCTTTTGGGCCGGACACTCTTCCCAGGCCCCTTCCCTTAGTGGACCTGCCTTCTTACCGCCGTCGTCACCAGCTGCTCCTGCTGCTCCGCCTCCTTTCCATCATTGCTGAGTGCTTGGCTTGATAGGCAGAAAGGGGTGAGCCAGGGCAGGGGCAACTGCAGGTGCTTCTCCCTGCATCTTCTTGCTTCCTCCTGCTCACCATCCATTAGAGCAGGATGCAGCAGTAAAGAAAGAGAGGCCAAGCCTCTGCCCGCAGGGCCCAGCGGGAAAAGTTGGGGTGCTCTAGTTTTTGGGCCCCTGCTTGGGTCTGTGTCTTAGGCATGAATCCTGCCTGCCTGAATCCCTTTCCACTCCGTTTCCTTTCTTTGTGTCCTTTTCTCAAGCCTGGTCTACACACAAGTGGAGAGGAGAATAGACGATGCCATTTCAGACTGCTGAAGGAAAACTGCATTTTTGCCACTGCCTTACATTACAAGCCCCCTTAAATAGAAAATCAGCATAGCAGGTGCCAGGTCAGAACATCCCTTTCTTATTCCCTAGTTCTTTCTTTGAAGCAATTTTTTAAAGCGTTCAAATATGGAACACAGCTCCTGCGGTCTGAAGCCTAACAGTTCATTCCGCCTCATAGTGCCTCTCGGCTGGACCCAGCCACAGCTGTTCAATAGTACTAATACTACTCCTACCACAACAACACACACACACACACCTATACCACTTTTTTTCCTCTTGCAAGGTAACCAAGGCAGTGTGCATAGCTCCATTTTATTCTCATAACAGCAGACCTGTAAAGAAGGTTAGGCTGAGCATGAATAACTGGCCCCAAGGTCACCCAGCGTGCTTCATGAGTGAATAGAGACTAGAACTCTGCTTTCCCAGGTCCCCAGCCCAACTCTAACCACCACACAACACCGATTCTATCATATATATCAATAGAGAACTCATTCTCAAATGCACTTATGTAGAATGGTGCCATCCCTATACAAGAGGTATCTGCAGGCCTGGAAGAAGCCCAAGGTTTGCAGAAATGCAATAAAGCTTTAAGGGTGAGAGGGAAACATTCGAAAACATCTCAGTGATGACACAGCATAAGAAATGCCATCTGACTCACATGGGGGGGGTGGATAGGGAGGAATGCAGTGGAGTTTCCTGGAAGAGAGCATGGCTGGCTGGCTGGCTGGCATCTCGAACGGGAGCATTCCATGCAGCAACATTTTGCTGCAGATCCCACTTGTAAAATGCAGAATTTTTGTTCTTTTAACATTCGAAGTCACTTAAGATTAAAGATGCTCACAGAGTTCTTTTTATTTTATAGCACAGTCCTAGACAAAAGTATGATTTCTGGAAGGATATGGTTGCTGCCATACAGTATAATTATAAAACATCTGCTTTTAAAGGTGAGTGAATACTTTGTCATTTTTAAAGCTGGTGTTTTATACCACAGCAGATTCTTTATGACTGGAGGGAGTTCGAACTTTTGAGAAGCACTTTCTGATCTTAAAATATGGTTATGTTACCTGAACTGTAATTGTTGCACTCGTTTCATAATGTGTTGTAGTTAACTGCTGCTTCTACAGGAGATGCAGTTGTTTGAGTTCTTGATGTGTGATTGAGCCTGCAATCTTATGCTTGTTTCCCTTTGAACTCAAGACAGACTTATTGCATTGTATAGATTGCAATGCAAATGAAAAAAAAAAAGAGCTGGACTTTTTAGGTGAAATGCAGCTTGGTTTAATATGAAAAAAAAATTATGTTTGGTGCAAACTTGGGAATCCCAGTCCTGTATCTATCTAAAGTGTCAGGAGGGGCATTTGCAAAAGGGAAGCAGATACCTTAGGGCCTCTTAAGCATTCCCTGCTGCTGCTTTTCACTTGACTGAGAAACTGAGTTCAGAGGCAGTCTAAGAAAGGAGGAGATGGGATGGGGAAGCTGCAAGGAAAACTGATTTGCAGGAAAGTTGAATATATCCGTTCCTCTCTATTCCTTTTCTTTCTTGTAAATGCACATTTCCTGCCCTCATTTTATATAGTGCAGGATAGGAGTTCTGTGTTTCTAGCCTGAACTCCATCCAGGGTTGAGCCGACCGCATGGCAGTGCAGGTTGCCACAAAGAACAAGGCAACTAAAGGGGTGAAAGCCTATTTCTGCAATGCCCACATGTGGGTTGAAAGAGGCGTGCCCAAGAACGCTCTTCAAAATAACGAAGGATTCCCAACCTACATGGAAGTGAGGATGCTCATAGTGACACCTCATCCTGTCATAAAATGTAGGTGTTACGAGTCAGTGTGTATGAACAATGTGCCAGAAGAATGCTGATGGCCGTGGCAGTTGTAATTTACAACAGCTATCCCAGGCCTTTCCACTCAGGGAGAGGGAACATCTCCACTCTAGGCTATTTCTGTTTATTATAGATGTATTTGCCTTGCCCTTCAGAAATTCCCCAGAGTGTTTACAGTATGAAGTCAAAATGCAAATAAAAATACCAAGACTTTGGCACTGAAGCCTCACATGGTATAGATGTGGAATCATATTTGCATTTCTGTGCATAAATCTGCTTGTACAGATGGGTCTCCCTCCCTCCTTCCTTCTAGTATTTTCAAGACAGTGGGTTTAAAGAATGTAGCCCATGTGGAGGTGAAGAAGTAGTATCCTTGATGTTAAGATTATCCTTGCAGTACTATTGTCCCTTTTGAGAGTGATTTTATTTTGCTTTCAGAATGGCTTTTTAACTAGCCCATTAAAGTCACGACTGGCTGTTGTTTCAACAGAAGGAATTCAGCAGTGCAATATATATTTTTTCTGTGTCTCATGTAGGCATCCTTGCTAGCTTTGTCATACAGGAAAATAGCAATAACTTCCCCACACAAAAATTCCAAGAAATAAGATAAAAGGAATTAAGTATAAGAGGCAAAGAGAAATGTATGTATCACTTTTTATTCACACAGATTTTAAAAACAAGGTTGATCAGCACAACTAGACATGTGTAGAACAGTATGTGAAATGCTAGTTAAAATGAATATCATAAAGAACATCTATGTTGGTTTCACCACAGAGCATTATGTCAGATGAAATATTAACTTAAACAATGCTAAATGGTCCTATATTGGTACAGAAGGGTACAATCTATGAAATTTTAGAAAGAAAAGTGGCCTACAATTCCCAGCATGCCCCAGCAAGTAATATTGGGAGTTGTATGCCTTTTTTCTGTCTAAACTTGCATAGAATTGTGCCTTAGCTGAACAATTGTACAAGTACCATAGTATAAAATTAACATAAATAATACAGTTTCTATATCTGATGCATATCATTATCTGCCATGAAAAGACAGATTTCTGTAAAGGGTAGCTATATAAATTACTTTGTCAAGTCAGTTGAGTTAAATAATCCTTTACCTCCAGCCATACCAGTAAAAGGGAGTGGGTATTCTATCCAGTTAGCATGAAATGTGCATGCAATAAGCATGGTCACACAATAGTAGCCAGCAAGAAAGATTCACCTACAGAAGCAGCCCCCCATGTGGGGTGCAGCCGTGCCTCGGGATGGCCGTTCCCATCCAAACAGCACTGCTCATCTGGTTGGTGTTGCACTTGACTGCATTCATCTTGCAATACGAGAAGAGCTGTACATTCCCACTCATGCACATAGCTTTTGCATGTGAATAATCGTTCTATCTGGACTGGGGCCAATGTGTGGCTCTGTGAGGTGACCGATGACCTAATTTAGAGCATGTTGCCATGAGCATTCCTGGTCTTTTGAGTCGGGTTTTTAGTCAAGATGCAGCTGATGACAAAACATTTACCAGCATCCGGGTTATCCTAATATATTTAAGTGTTTAAAGGCTTCAACACTACTTCATTGTATATTTTTCTTGTAATAGAAACTGCTGACAGAACCAAGCCATACCAAGCTAATGTATCTGGAACCTTATTTAATGTTACTATATAAATTTGAATGCATCATTGGTTTAATTACTCATTGGGAAAAAGTTCATAATTCATAATGAATATGAGCTTCCCATGAACTAGTCAGTGATAATTGCAATCTCTGTTCCACTCTGTTCTAAACATTGTTCCACATAAGTTGGAGCTCCTGATTTCAAAAGAGAACTTTGTAGTCTTTCTGACTCTTTGTGTGTTTCAACCTCTTTTGACTATGATAATAGTTTCTGAAAGCAGGAAAGTGGTTTATACTAGACTGTATTCCTACACCCATTGAATCTGAAATTGTTACCCTTCTTGTTATTCAAATTATTCAAGCATGAGAATGGCAACATTAAAATACTTCCTTTCTACTCATATCAATGAATGAGAAAGCTTATATAAGACTAGGTAATGATACCCCTTTCATGATACCTAATCTTGGTAATTATAATTAACATTTCACTATTTCGGCAGATAAAATACATTTCTGTGTGATATATTAACATAGGATTATAGTTTGTGAATAATTAAATTATCTTTTAAAATGTCTTTTAAAAAGAGCACCTACGATATGCATCATGCAGCGTTTTTCTTAGAAGTTTAATTTAATGTTCAGATTTTCTTTAGCTAGTCTCTGTTGGACATCTAGCAGTAGAAACACACATACCAAGATACCATTTTTAAAAAATGGTATGTTATATTTGTGCAAATAAGAAACCTGAGAAGGAAGAATGAACATACTCTGAAGAGAACAAGCCATTTGTTTCTTTGTTGGGCAGCTGTAACCAGACCTGGTCATTCTCCATGAGGTCCACAACAGCACTACCAGAAGCCTGGTCAAGGTATCCTTTCTTGTACTCATCAAAAGTGTACATGATGGGGGAGCCATTTTTGTACAAGCCAACCCAAACATGTGTTCCTTTCACATGGACATGGTAAGCAAAATAGTAGAGTCCTGGAATCCTGCAAGTAAAGATGCCTGACCTGGGGTCGTAGTGCTGTTGCCTATTGTACAGAATTTTATCAAACTTGATAGGGGAAGCTGCTAAAGGGTATGCTTGGGAAAGAATGACAGTGAAAGCTGACACTGGCATGCCAGTTAGGCCTTGGACTGTACCTGCTTTCATAACAGGCAGTCCTGCCAGGGCCTGGCCTTGTGGGACTGCTGCTTCTCCGGGGGGACCTGGGGGACCAGGGGGACCTGGCAATCCAGGCTCTCCGTTGTGGCCTTTGGGACCCATAGGTCCAGGAGGACCCATAGGTCCATCTGAACCCTTTGTAGAGATGCCAGCTGGGCCTGGTAGTCCTGGTGCTCCTGGTTCTCCTTTACTGCCAGGAAATCCTGGGATCCCTGGAGGACCAACTGGTCCTCTTGAACCTGGTATTCCAGATGGACCTCTTGGACCTGGCTCACCATTGATACCTGCTGCTCCTTTAAGTCCCGGAGAACCCATTGGTCCAGGTAAGCCAGGTGACCCGGCAAGACCTGGATCCCCTTTAGGACCTGGCAAACCTGGATATCCTTTTGGGCCAGGAAGTCCTGGTTCTCCCGGCTGCCCAGATTTGCCATCTAATCCTGCTAGACCCCTCTCCCCTTTAACACCTGGCAACCCAGCTGGACCTGCAGGGCCTCTTTCACCCTTCAGCCCTGGAATGCCATTTTCTCCAGCTGCACCCCTGGGTCCTTGAGGGCCCATATTTCCAACTGGTCCAATGGGCCCTGGTTCTCCTGGAGCACCAGCTGGGCCTTGTTCTCCCTTTGCTCCTGGGGTACCAGGGAGGCCTTCAGGTCCTCTGTTACCCTGCATTCCTGGCAACCCAGGCTTTCCAAATCCTGGGAGTCCAGAGGGCCCAGGCAAGCCTGAGGGACCTGGAAGGCCTTTTGGTCCGGGACTTCCTGGTAATCCTACTGGCCCAACTGGTCCAGGTTTGCCTATTCCTGGCTGTCCGGGTTCCCCAGGAGGACCTTGGGGACCTGGGATGCCAGCTGGTCCTGGGGTACCCGGTAAACCCGGGTTTCCTTTAGCACCGGGGTAACCTGGAAGTCCCTTTTCCCCATGCTTTCCTATTCCTGCAGGTCCTGGGGGTCCTGAAGGACCCTGTGGGCCTGGCAGACCCCTTTCACCTGGGCGACCTGGAACCCCATATCCATTTTCTCCCTTCTGTCCATTTATACCAGGAATGCCTGGGTCACCTTTCTCGCCAGGGAAACCCCTTGGCCCTTGTGCCCCTGGCAGTCCTGGTTTCCCAGCAACAGAGATCCCAGCTGGACCAGGAACTCCAGGGGCTCCTGGGGGACCTCTTGGCCCGGGGAGACCTGCAGGGCCCATGTCTCCTTTTTCACCAGTTAATCCTGGGTTGCCTGGTTTTCCTTGCAAGCCTGGTAGTCCTGGCTTTCCGGCGACTGAAAGTCCTGGTGGTCCTGGAGGTCCTGGAGGTCCTTGTGGTCCTTGGCTTCCGTATCCTGGTTTTCCTGGAGCTCCAGAAGGACCCGGTAGTCCCCTTGGGCCTGGAGGGCCTGCTGGACCAGCGGGTCCTTGTTCTGGCCTTGCTGCTACAACTAAAATAAATTAAAATAATTAGTGGATTGTAAGACTTAAATGATTCAGAAATGTCCAGTTGAAATAAGCATTTAAAAATAACAGTACAATGCAATGCAACATAGTATAGAATATTAAATCCTTGCTTATTGCAATGTAAGTAGATTGTTTGCCTTTTATCTGACGTGAACAACTGAATGGAATGAGCCAGCTCTGCTTACACACACACACACACACACACACAAGCTTCTTGTTTAACATTTTATAAAATCCTAATTCTCTAACCATGAGAAACAGAAGCAAGCAAAGTTTGATGGGTAGAAGGTGAACACTCTAAATAATGCAACCTAAATTAAAACTATAAACATCCCAATTATGGGGAATTAAATTCTAAACATTTTGTTTTAGCTAACATTGATAGACCTAGCATTCATGCTATCTATTCATGATTTTTATGAATTGGTCATATTTTAGAAGCTTTGCCCATAATATTAGAATATGCATTGTGGGTGGAATTTGTCTGTATTTTCTAATAAGAAACAAAGTCCCCAAGAAAGGCAGTAGATTTTGGAATTTTGATAGACTGCACTAAATAATGCATTTCTGTTGGTATGGTTCAACCGGCATTACTATCAGCCATCTTAGGCTCTTTGTGTGGAAGGGTGGAATATAATCAGATCCGAATAACATTCCTTGAGAAATTTCTCTTTACACAAGGAAAATGTATACAAAGAGGAAAAGAAAATTGTAGGGAAATGTCTGCCATTCCCAAGAGTTCTTGTGCATTTCACTGTATAAAAAAAGCAGACAGTGCCCATAAGTCCATTGCTATCATCATTCATCATACTTTGTTGATGTGGTGCATCTTGGGATCTCTACAATGTATGAAGTTAAGGAAGGAAAGCCTTAGACAGTCAAGGACAAAGAGTAAGTAATTGGAAGAATAATTCTAGGCATGTTACCTAGGAGGAAGTCCTTCTGAGTTCTTTAGCGCTTACTCCCAGGAAAGTGTGCATAGCATTGGAGCCTTATCTGGAAGTAAGCCCTACGGAGTGAGTCATGTTCCTCACATTGTAATTTAACCCCTGCTAAATGAGTAATCCTGTTACTGGGGAAGGAAAAGTGGACAACCAAAGTTCAGTTGACTTGAGCTGGACTATTCCTAGGTGGTTTAAACTGGAGCAGCAACTTTTTATGTCTTGGTAACTACTGCTTTGTGGGTTGTGTGGCGTTTCGTAAACCAGCAGATGGAGCCACTCAACCACATGTTTGCTCCAGAAAAATCGAAGGCCATTTAGAAATCACCACATTTTCCGATACTCCTTTCACTTGCTCTTCTGGGAATAGGCAGATTCTTGTTGAATGCTAGATGATACAATATATAAACATAGCCACATTTTTAAATTAATGAACTAATAAAGGTATCTGTTGGCATGCCGTGGAACAGGATGCAATCTTTTTGCCAGGGGTCTCAAGAGAACTAAAGCTGTGTTTAGCAAATCAAGCCCCTCAGGTAAGCCTGGGACCAGTATATTTTACTGCCATTAGCAAGCCAAATAAATGTAAGATTTAATGTTGAAGAAGCCTGTAGAATGGGTAAGTGTTTGCACTGTCATCATTTATGCGGCATTTATCTGGAAGAGCACACCTTCCAACGGACCACTTTGCATTCCCCCGACAGATGCTCAGTGCATTCATTAATTCCCTGGCAGCCATTCCAGCAGGCTGAGCTGAGGCTGATGAGAGGGAGGGAAAGCATTTCCACTCTACCATCCCTGCTAAAAGAATTATTTTTTACCACTTCCTTCCCCATTACTTTTTAATTCAATTATGTGTGTTTTTTGGATTGCAAGCATGTGGGCAGAGACTGTCTTATTTAATTGATCGTACATAAGTCGCTGGGAGCCTTTTTGGCTGAAGAACAGCCTAAGAGTACTTCAAATAAAAAAGTAATTATTAAGAGGCAAAGCAGGGAGATCAGGGAGATGCAGCAGGTTGTTGGGTGCCACGAAGGGCACTTTACCCATTGCCATGCCATGGCTACATGCTTCTAATGAGGAAGAGTTTCTTTTCAGTTCCCACCCCTGTCAGCCCGCACCTGAATGTGCTTTGTGCAACCCCTTTTTTGCCTGCATTCAGCTTCTCTACAGACCTATGACTTCAGTAAGACACTTGTGGAGTCTTGAGTCCACCTGATAATTAAGCATTAAACTAGTTATTCTCCCATGTCTGAACAAATGTAACTTAGAAATGGACCTTTCATGATCCTGGGATTCAAGCAGGTGGTGTGAGAGATAAATACAGTAATACCTTTCTGTTTCTGAACTTTGAAAAACAAAGTTTTCCGTTCCATTGATGGGAAAGAGGAAATCTACACAGATGTTTGACCCTAACAAAATGTGCTACCAAAACCATGCATAATTTACTTCGAGGCAGAAATGTTGTACATAGTGAATGATCATGTGCTTTTATAGAGTGTGTTTCAAAATGTTAGTTCCTCTGAACATCTCTCATCTCAACAGCTGTATGAGTATCTGTGCACTGCAGGTGAGGTACAGAGGCTGAAATAACACAGGTTGCCTATGGTTTCCTGGTGGGTGCATGGCAGAAATGAACTGTGGAACCATGGAGTTCCACAGAGCTGAGAGAGAAATCACTCCACACCGATGGGCTGTGGTCTTTCATTATCCTGCTTAGCTTATTTCTTCCAGCAGCTGAGAAACAGTGGGGTTCAGCTGAGTAAAATAAGGAGTGAAAAATCTCAAGGTCTGTCACCATCAACTATCAGCAAGAAGTGGGCAAAAAAATCTCAGAACTCTTCTTAAGTGTCAGTAATCCACAGAACACTTTAAGAATTCTCAGCTGTCGGAGCCTGGTTATTTTTTATGGGCTGGATAGAACCCAACCTTCCTCATCCTTTTGCTGGGGATGGAAGCAAGCTATTGGGGGGGGGGGGGGGATCCAATGCACCTGGAGAACAGCAGGCTGGGGAAGGCTGGTAAAACTTATCTCTTGTGAAAATGCCTAAAAGTCTTTAAGCAGTCTGGAAATGCACCAACCAGACTATAAAGAACCCCTTAACTAATTTGAATTTCCATCTTACTTATTTAACATGCTCAAAGAGTCAGTAACTCTTGGCAAAAGAAGATGGTTTTAATGTAGCTATTTATTTTCCTGGGACAAGTGAATTCAGGGGGAAAAATATGGAGTCTGATAAATGAACTTCACCTTTTTATAAAGAAAGATAGTGACCTTGAATAAGTTCACTGAATAACCCAAGGTATGTAACTCAAACTTCATGGAATCCCTTATTATATCAATGGGAATAGTTATACCAAGAATGATGTTGCAGGATCCTTGGGAAACAATTCCTGAATATCAATTATGTTTAAAAGCTCAATTTTCATGTTTTAAATTGGTATACCTTTTCAAATTGAATGGCTACTTAGACTGGAAATGTAGCTCTTAAGGTTTTCTTTTTGCAGAGTGTGTAGTTACTACAGTGTAAAGGAATAGAGATTCTACCATTTCTCTTACCTGACTAAATTGTTTCATTAGTTCTCAGACTGATGAGCTGTGAACTAATGAAATTGGGTGCCTTATTCACTTCTTATTAACATTTAATGGTGTGGATAAGAAACCATGTCCGTTTTAGGGGAAATGAGCCTGAACAATCTTGTTAAACATGTTTGTTAGGATGTGAATGTCACCTAATTTCAGTTGAAAATATTTGCAGATTAGGGGCATGTCACACGCTTAGTATAGGTACGGATGAGTCCCAACTACATCTTTCATCAGCCCTAGCCAGCATTGCCAATGGTGAAGGTGAATGAGAATTGTAGGGCAAAACTTTGAAGGGCCACAGTTTGAACAGCACTGGGATGAGTTCTTGCATGGTCTCAGCTGTGTGAGAGATGCAACAGCACTGATTCTTCCTGGGCCATCAAAGCATCGAATTCCTGTGCTACTGTATCATGTAGCTTGTCCAATCCCCTAGTTGGTGCAGGATAGCTGGCACTCTGCCTGAGGACCTCCAGTGAGGAGGAGTCTATTGCCACTTCCAAGGATATTTTTCTTGCAAGGAAGACATTTCTCCCAACATTCAAGAGAAATCTACCTTTCTGTAACTTTAAGTCCATTTGATGTAGTTCCACCCTCTTATCTATATGATTGGTTTCCTTTTCATCCAGGACTGGATTGTGCTGTGTGTTCTAGCCATTATAATTCCTGAGCCAAAATAATAAGACTCTCTGTCCTTCTACCCTCAAATATATGTACTGGTTTTATACCAGTTTCACTGTTATGGCATACAGCAGAAGAACTCTGCAAATTGTGATTCAATGAGAAGAATGCTGAAACATCCCTTTGGAGACCCCATTCTTGATCCCCTCACAGAACCACACTTCTCAGAGCAGTTCCTTTTAAGGTCCCTCCTAATAAAATAATTTTTACTGCCATTAGGTCAGTAAAAATCTATAGTGCAGGTTTTCACTGTATATTTCAGAAAGTGTGGGTTTCACGACTAGGAAATCTCAGTAAGAACTGAATTCTGCACTAAAAACACCCTTCAGCACTGCTGCTAAAATTACAAGGCAGAACTCAATCAGCAAGAATATGAAAGATCATTAAAAGCACATGCTCCTTAAAGTTTAAAATACTGGTTATTCCAATAAAATATTGCTATTTTGGCATTATCCTATCCTATAATTCAGGACATTGTATTTGTGTAAAGCTGAATTAATAATTTGAAATCCTGTAATGTTCTAAGTTCCAATTTCAGCCTTTTTAAAAGATCAAAATAATGTGAATTTCTTGCTGCATCAGATTTCATATGGTCATGGGTACAAGCCCTTTCGACTCAGTGAAACAGAAATCTAAATCAGATAGTCAATAAACACTCATTTACTGAGATAGTGGCTTACAGAATTGTGCTATTCATTTTCTGTTGCTTTCCTAGTGGAAGTTGGGTCATTTGGAAGATAGCTTAAAAATGTTTGAGTATATAAAGTTAGCTTGCAACATGTATAGTCTGGACTACCACTGCTTAAATATTAGTTGAAAAGCCCTTGAACGTGGGTTGCTGGGCTGCGGTGTCTTACGACACCTCCTCAACTGCATCATGTTGGTGTTCATCTGTTAATGTAAGGCAGATAGATCTGCTCAGAAAAACCGAAAGGCTACCTGTTCTGAGATTTTCCTCTTGTAAAAGAAATCTTCCTAGGGAAAGCTAGCATATCTCGGAGGTTATCCCTAATGTTCTGGTTTTATATGCACTGCGCAAGGAACTTCTCACATGGAGAACGTTCAAGCATGCAGCCCCCCACGTGTTTCCTGAAGTAGGCCCGCCCCACTGTGTACTCTCGAGCAGTAAGGAACAGCTCCAGTTAGTTGAAACCCAGGTGCACTTGCCTGCTATTATTCTTCTGATGTTATTCTTCTGTAGGCTGTTAGTTCTACAGTGATAATTTTAGTAAATATCCAAAAGAAAATCTGTAGCTTACCCACTCACAAGACCAACTTTTTGTACCTCCAGACAATAGCTGCTCATAATAAGTACCCTGGTTTACACTGCACCATAATCAACATACCCAACAAAACTATAGGTGGCCATATTTTTAAAAACAAAACATTACTTACCATGGCTTTTTACACTGAAAGGTAGGAAAGGTGGCCCTTTCACTGGGACACTGGATTGTTGCTGATACCGTTCAGGATAAAAGCTTTCGCCAGTACAGATGATGCTCATGGGGAACAGCATCAACAGAAAGGAGATTTGCAACTTCATATTTCTAAGTCCACCCTGCATTGAAGAAGGAAAAAATATATGCATTACATTGCAGAAAGCTGTGTTTATGATTTTAGCCACCCCCAAAGAGCTGTAATAAGAAGATAAATCTCATCTCCAGTTTCATGCTTTACAAATTAATAGATACAACAAATTGCATGTTTTTAAATGTGCATTTAACAAAACAGAAGCAAAAGCCATAATAGGCATCAGAAATCTAGTCCCATTTTATCGCATGTTCAGGCTTCCCCACAGCATGTGGCAATGCTTTACAAAAATGTTCTGAAATAAAAATGCTCAGCTGTTAGGTGCTGCAGTATTATATGCCTATAGAAGCCCATTAACATTCCTAGAAGAAGGATCTGGGTCCTCCTCTTTCCTCCTGAAGTAACAGCCTTCAGAAACTTCTGTCTGTACAACAAGCAAGCCTTCAGTAATTGCAACTAGAATTCGCTGCTTGGTGCCACTAATGAGCACCTGAAAACCTCTGCCCCACTTCAATGCATTGGAAGCCAAGCCAGATAGAATTGCAGCATACCAGGTTCTAGTGGGATGATGAATGTACAGTAGAGCAGACTTCAGTCTTGGCTCAGAGGTCCCTCTGCCACAGGTGTGCAGAGCAGGAGATGTTGTTTCCAGCATCATCCTGCAGTATTTATACTGTTTGGGTTGCTGACATGAAGTTGCACTTTCCTGAAGCCCCGCCTTCAAACCAGGAACATGCTAATTATGGTGGAAAGTTTTCTTGGCCAGACATGTGCCAGGTTAGGTTTTTATTCTTATTATTTCAGATGATATCCCTCATTCATGAATTTATTTTCACTGTATTAGAACTAGGACAAGAATAACTCACCATCAAATAATATGAGTTTTTTTAAGGAACTGAAAAAGTGTTTTGATTTAATTTCCTCAGGGATGGGGAAACCACTACATTTCTCTAACTGGTTGTTTTAGCAGGCAGTTCTACAAAGTGGGGAGAAGTTGTCAGCAATGTGCAAGGGACTGCAGAATGTAAGTTTGTAAGTTTGCGCCCCAACTTAGGCATGAACCATTATTTCTCTCATATTTTCATGTTTGCTTTCTCCAATTCCAAAAATCATGGCCTGTTTTACACGCGCATACAACATGCCATATCATATTATGTTTCAGCAAAAGAGCAATTGCGGTATTGAAAGAACATTGACCACAGTACCAAACCAAATTCAGAATCTCATCTGTCACAGATTACTCTGCCTTGAGCATCTCAGTTTTCATTTCAAACAGAACCAGTTTTTATCTTATACAACTGCAAATGCTTTCCTGAAAAATGGTTACTTCTATTACTTTATCTATTATTGTTATATTTATAATCTAAAGTTTTTCCTCTCACAAGGAAACCAAGGCAATTTAAAGAGTCTTCCTCTTCCTTTCCTTTTTATCCTCACAGAAACCCTGAGAGATCAGTTAGGCTGATAGTCTGGGACTGGCCCAAAGTCAGCCAGGGAGCCTCATGGCCTAGTGGGGACTGGACTCTGGACATCCCAAGTCCCATAGTGCCATTAGAAGAACTTGGGCAAGAAGGCACCAGTGTACTGCTTGTGGGATCCTGTGGGCAGCTGCTTGGCCATTGCGTGAACCCAGGGCTGGAGTAGATGGACCCTTGGCCTGATCCAACATTGCTTGGAAATGGTTGCCTTTCATTTTAACAGCCAAAGCAGCTTCACATTCCCATTTCTTTGCACATCTGAATTTCCTTTACTGAATGGGGTGTTCTGCATGTATCAAAGTGCTCCTAGGGCCTAGATTCTACTACTAAGTACATAATTATGATGGCATTGTTGAAATCCCCTTTTCAATGTTTGTGCAGCCGTATTCAACAGCTATTCTGTGGGGTATGGAGGATCCCATTTGGGCCTCATATTGTTTGGTTATACAATTCTGAAAGACCTCTCCTCTTCACAACCAGAGATCTAGTCCTTCCCTGAGTGCTCAGCTTGTTCTGGACTGTAGCGTCAGACAAGCAAGTACATACGTTTTATGCAGATTTTTAATCTATGCCGGGTACGGAGACCATGACTGCCTCAACTGGTACCTCCCCTTACCTTCCATGCAGTGGATGCCACATCTGCAAAGAGAACTGCATGTGAGGACTGAGATGGTGTCATGCTAACACTCCGCCCCAGTTATGTGGCTACAGATTGCATGAATGGAGCCAGCAGCCGTCGTGGTCCAGATTTCACAGGTGTCAGGTGCACCAGGGTGTCACAGCTGGTCGCTGCAATCACTGTCTGAGATTTGTCTGCTACTTGGCATTGTGCAGCTTCTACTGGCTGCTCAAGCCACTTGGCCAAGTCAAATCCTTTTGTTGCAACTCATCGCCTACAAGGTTCAGCTTTCCCCAGCCTGGTGCTCTCCTGATGTTTTGTGCACCCACTGCGAGTACTCCTGACTACTGGCCATGTTAGAGTTACTGATGGAGGCTGAAACCCTTATCATCTGGAGGGCACCAGGTTGGGGAAGCTGAACCAGTTTTTGCTTTTTATTGCACAAAAACTGAAATGAGTGGTTGTTGGTGCCAGTATTTGGAGACAATGTATTGGTAGTGTATACTGCATAGTTGCTTATTGTTTTCCTCACAGCAAAAAAATAAAAAAATGAACGCCCTGTGTGTGGTCATACAAGTATTTGGTCAAGCAAAAGGTACACAAAATCATGTTGACCTCATTTATCCCATTCCTTACCCTGGAATGAGCCAAATATCTTACATAAATGTATTTCTATTGTAGGTTTGTCCATGAATTGTGGGATTATTTGTACGGCTTCACTGCTATTTGTAGCAACTGCTTGCTTTTAAAAATGCACCTGTTTTTTCTTATTTGAATATTTGACCATACTTTTAAATACATCCTATGCTAGAGTTAGTAAGTGAGGGCAGGGTTCTACTCTTAGCTCCTCTTCCAGGTTATAATTCTGATCCTGTTGCCAGGGCTAGTCTTACCACTGCCCATCCTAGGCAGGTTGTTTGGAACACTGAGGTCCAAAACAGCGTGCCACAAACCACGTGCCTGAGGAACCAGTAACTTCAGATAACAGAAACAAGTGCGCAGAGTCCCCTCATGTGGAGCAAGTGCATTGTTGGTATTCAGTGGTAGTGTCAATCTGGTTTACATTTGATTTTTGCTTTTATTTGCTGCAGTTACTATTACTGCAAGCCTTTCTTGAAGGAGTGTAGGATAGCCCTCGTAAATGAAAAAAGAAATAAGTTGCACTCTAAGCTTTGTCTCTGCTTGTGCTGTAACAGCAGGATCTAGCAGCTGCTGGAGCGGTCTCCATAGTGGCCAGGTGTGACATGTAGCAAGGTGAACAGAGATGAAGCCTACAGAGAGGCAGATGACTTGCAGTGTTGTTGGGTATGGAGCAGGCAAAGGGGGATTTGAGCAGCTACAGCATAACAGGGTGTGATGAGAAGGGCCCTTTAAGCTTAGGAGATTCAGGCCATTTTACTACTTTGCCTGGAACAGTGACTAAAATCTCATACCTACTTGTAAAGTATGAATGGGTGCTAGCCCTGTTAGCTGTGGGCTTTGCTCCATGATCAGCGGTGATACGGCAGCGGACAACAGGTGAAACTCCTGCACCCATCCTGCTTAAGGGATCCTTTGGGCAACTGGTTTGCCATTATGGGTGCAGAGTGCTGGATTGGATGGACCATTGGTCAGATCCAACATGGCTTTTCCTAAGGTCTTAAACCATCAATATTTGCTAGTAGTTACTACATGGAACACCTACATATCACAGAGGGCTATGGGGAATATTCTAGCGCACAGATCTTAGATAGCACTGCCTGAATTGACAGCACTCATGCTGTGCCACACAAACTGAGAGTACACTCCAGTCACACATACACAAGAGTTCCCTGTAGCTCTGTAAGCTGTCGTTCAAGGAAACACATCTTCCCTTACCAAACATTGCACTGAAGAAACGTGAAGTTTCCTGGAACATGGCTTGAGACCTCCTGGCTAGTGTGTCCAGATATTTTAACTAGCCCTGGTACTTGCACTCCATCTTCCAGGCTCTGTTAGCAGTCTAGGTCTGCTAAAGAGCCAGTGCAGTGTAGTGGTTAAAAGCATGGGACTGGGACTCAGATGATCTGAGTTCTGGTCCCCACTTGGCCATGGAGCCAACTGGGTGACTTTGGGCCAGTCTCAGTCCAATCTACCTCACTGTCGTGGGGATAAGATTGAAAGCAGGAGGAACAGAATGATGTAAGCTGCTTTGAGTTCTTTAAAAGAAAAAAGGCAGGATATAAATCTAATAATAAATAAGTAGGCCTATGGTGCATTGAGCACAACTTGAACTCTTTTTGGTGTTGTTATGCAAGTCCCTTAAAAAATAAAAGCAACATCATTCAGATCTGCAGTTTACATAATTCTGAGATTATAGAGCAGCCAAAAATAATTGTGTAATGTAACAGAATAATACCAAGAGTATTTAAAAGTCAGATAAGTGGCTTGAGTCAAACAAAGCATCATCCAAAGCAAGGGTGGACCAAAAAACCCCTCCTCTTTCACATGATGTTGAAAGACAATGGAGTGTGTGCCTGGAGAGCTTTCCTCAGTTGTAAGTTTCAGAAATGGGAAGCCACAACAAAAAAGGCCCTACCATGAAAATGCCATTATTCTTTGTCATGAAAGATGTCATTAACATTTTTTAATGTACTGCACAAGACTTAGGAAGGATAAGCTGAAAGAGAATGGCTTTTTTGCCTCAGTTTGTAGTCATACATGTTACATTCCATGCTATGTACTTGGGATAGATGAAGACTTGGGACTGTTATAATTCTTGACTAAAGGAGACCTCATCCCATCTTTCCCACTTGAAAAAAAGTATGATTCTTGACTGCCAATAGACTCTGTGTACATAGATAAAAGTCAGGTATAAATATTTTCCTGTAGACACTTGGGTTTGCAAAGTGGTTTGTGTTTATGATTGCTAGAAAGCTTTTAAAAATATCCATTACC